TTTAGCTATTTGCTTTATAATTTAGGTTCATTTATTGTTATTATTATTAGTTTAAACAATAAAGGAGTTCGACAAGTATTGGTAAGTTAATTTATCTTTGAAGTTAGCCTATGCAATTACAAAAGGACAAGTTGAGTATAAAATAAACTTTACATTAGTATTGTTTAGACATATTAATGAGTAGGGTTTAGGTTGGATCTCTTTGATCAAAATCTAGTGCATTAAATTTATTTAGACCCAAACTCAAATTTAGACTCTTATGGGTCTAGAAAAGAAAGTCTAAATCCAAACTCTCATAGACCTGGGTATCCAATAGGTATCCATGGGTATTTTTCTGAACATACTAAAGTAAATATATATTAAAAAATATAGAGTTCATAAATAATATAAATACCACTCAGTTTTTGTTTTTAAATAATAAAATTTACATTCAACAAACTGAAATGCAATATTATGAACTTAAAGAAAGAGCTATTATCAACTACTTCTATTTGTTTTCAAAGTTTCAACTACATTTACGTTCAATCTTTCATTTTTTTTACCCTTTCTTTTTCTCCTTTTCCTGAAAAGGTTTGCACAATTACAATGACAATTAAGATTAGGTTGAAAAAAAGAAAACAATATAATACATACAAATATTTAGCCTTATCAAAAAATATATAATTTTGTACCTCTTTTTCTTATTTAAGCCTCAATGTTGGTAGATGTCTCACAATCCAATGCTAAAATAGTGAATAAAATAAAAGTCATTCGACTAAGAACTGAGAGCAAATAAATAATAGAATAGGAAGATTTATAAAGACTTATTTATCTTTTTTTTTTATTCAATGCAATCATCAGTAGTCACTAATACTTCAACCACATCCGGAAGCAATTTGGAACAAGTCTTATCAATTACCCTACCATCAATACTAAATGCAGATTTTGATCCAAATATAATAGGTGAAAATAGTAAAGACAAACTGAGAGATAGTAGGGCAAAAGAAATAGTTTGCAAGATTTCTAATGAAACAAAATAGAGAGGGAGAGAAAGACAATGGAGGCACACAATAGTTAGACGAAATTAGGTAGCATTTTATTAGGTTAAGAATGTATCATTTAATCTAATAGTTATGAAATCTTATTGTATTCAATGCAATGGCCATAGAATATTAGATTATTTTATAAATTTACTAATGTATATACATATATATTATTTGATTATATATACATGGATCTGGATAAGTTTGGTATGGGTTTGGATTGGGTATGGATCCTAAAAAACCAAACCCTACCTAGATTCATGATTCTGTCATAGGATGTGGATCTATGTAAGATCTGTATTTGAGAAATTAAATCCAAACCGTACTCAAGTATATTGGGTTTGAATTGAATTTGGATAAAATCCAACCCATTGATATGCATAATTCTTATACGGAGAACACATAATCTCTCCAATAGATACACGGGACGCTATATAAAGTGCTTTACCTTATAAGCAATTGCCAAATTCCGCAATTTTTTTCCAAAAACTTTTGTAGGCTTCCTTGAGCTGATCCTACCTCACTACCTGCAAATCTGCAATGACACTGGCCCTAAACATCCTCTGTTACGTCCTACCGTTCTTTTCTTTTAAAAGTACAAATTCATTCTTTTTTTTAAAATTTTGGTTCGTCTTTGTAGTGCTAATATTTGCAACATTTAGGCTTAGAGTTTTTAACTGTTTCTAACTCCTCCTAACAGTGAATACAAGATAACCCCAGCTTATAAAATGTCTTAAAGCATTAAACTTTGAAAACAGGGATAATTTCATAAATCTCTCTTGAGGTTTTCAACAATTTCACTAATTCCCCTGTAATATTAGGAATTATACCGACTTCCCTTGACGTATTGAATTACCTAAAATAGCTTTCACTTTGTCAATGTTTTACATTTTTTTTTCAGAAACGATCGAAATAAGGAAGTAACACTACATTGTTTGAGCAAGGGCTCAAGATTTGACTTTACAAAAGTGGACTAGGCCACTGAGGAGCTTTGAGTTCCTCATCAAAGTATATGCATAGCTAATCTACTCAGTTTTGCACTGAGTCTGTTCATTTCAATAGGCATTCTATCAAATGAGCATTTCCTAAACATTAAGCAAAGATCTTTTATATCCTCTAGATGAGTTGCTAGTCGTTGGTTGGTAGAAGCTTGATACCTTATCATATTTAGGACCTGAGTGCATGGCGTTTGGATCTTGATATACTGCCACCCTTTCTCCTTTAGTTTGCACAGCGCCAGTTTAATGGCCAAAAGATTGTCCAGGACTACTGATCCTGTGCTTCTCTCGTTCAGTATCCAAGCCTCACATTTCTGGCCCAAGGTGTTTTCTACTGCAACTCCAATTCCCATATTTTGTCTTTCCATATGTTGTCCCACCTCCACACTAATGTTCAGCAAGTTTTCATCCTCCCCCACTCTTTCCTCCTCATCTTGTGCTATTTCTATTTCTGAGATGCTCATCAGATGTTCGGTCTGTTGTGATTAGTGATACTCCTCCCAGTCCTTGACTGCTTTCCTGATGACCTCCATTGGATGCCTATCCCTCTCTTCAAATTCCGCTTCATTCCCGGCTTTCCAAATCTGCCAAAGTATTTCCACGGTTAAGGCTATGTGTTCCCTTCCATCCTTTCGCGTGTGAGCTTCCATTAGCATATTCCACAATCTCCTGAAATCAGCAGTGTACTCCTTAAGTCCATCCCACTAGAGGGGTGCCATCCGCCAAACCATTTGTACCTGTTTGCAATGGAAGAATATGTGTTCCACTGTTTCACTATTTTCCCCACATCTCTTGTAAATTATATCACGTTTACCTATTTGTTTATGTATTGCTTCCCTACTTGGCAAAGCATGGTTTAGGCATCTCCAAACGAACAAATTTTGTTTGTGCTTTATGTTCATCTTCCATAACTGTTTCCAAGCCTTCCCACTTCCTCTTTCCCAGCTTGTCTCTCCCTTATCTCTTCTGTGTACTTCCAGCTGTTTGTTCTCTCTTGTAATTGCTTCATATGCTGAGCTAACCGAGTATTGACCATTCTCACTATGGCTCCAAACATAGCAGTCAGGTCTACCAATAAGGCTTATGGGGATTTTAAGTATTTGTCCCACTTCTCTTGCATTAAAGGTCCTGAAAATTAGAGGTGAATTCCATCTAAAGTTGGAAATCAGTTCACTCACTCTGCTAATCTTACAATCTGGGGGTTTTGGGGACTATACTTTGGCGTCTTTGCTATCCTGGATCCAGGCATCCTCCCAAATTCTGGTACCCTTGCCATTGCCTATTCTCTTCCTTGCTCCTCTCCTTACCTCCTTTCTTGCTCCCATCATGCTTTTCCATGTCCAGGAGGAGTTGCCTTTTGCTTCACAGCTTAGAGGTGTCTCCTTTGGATAATACTTGGATTTCATCACCTTGCTCATGAGCAGGTTTGGGCAGGTGAGAAGCCTCCACATTTGTTTTCCCAACAAAGCTTTATTAAAGCCTTGTAAGTCTTTAAATCCTAAGCCACCCTTTTCCTTTCCCGTTGCCATCCTTTTCCATGAACACCAATGCACTTTTTTTTTTCCATTATCTTCTCCCCACCAAAATCTTGCCATTAAAGCATGTATGTCTTTGCATAGTTTCACTGGAAGCTTGAAACATGACATTGCATAAGTTGGCATTGCCATGGTTATAGCTTTCAGTAAAACCTCCTTTGCTACTTGGGAGAGCTTCTTGTTGCACCAATTAGAGACTGTTTTCTGACATTTGTCTCTGACAAAACCAAAAATCTGGTCCTTGGTTCTGGTAATGACCATAGGCAACCCCAAGTACTTCCCTTGATGTACCACCTGTATATTTCCTAGTCTGCTGCAGATTTCTTTTTGTTCCTCCTGATCCACATTCTTGCTAAAGAAGGCTGAAGACTTTTCCATGTTGATCATTTGTCCTGAGCCTTGTTCATAAGTTTCCAAAATCTTCATCACCTCTTTAGCTTGATCCCTTTCAGCTTTGCAAAAAATCAGAGATTCATCTGTGAAAAAAAGATGATTGATGGATGGTCCATCTTTACTTATCTTCAATCCTGTCAGCTTATGGTTGTTCTCGGCTTGAGTCAACAAATTGGAGAAGCCTTCTGATACCAACAAGAAAAGATAAGGTGAGAGAGGATCACCTTGTCTAATCCCCCTTGAAGGTGTTATATATCCTTTTGACTCCCCATTTATGTTGAAAGAGAAGGTAACGGTGGTGATGCATTCCATAATCCAGTTGATCCATATCTCATTGAATCCCATTTTGGTCATCATTGCCTTCAGATAGCACCACTCCACCCTATCGTAGGCCTTTGACATGTCTAACTTTAAAGCCATAAATCCTTTAGATCCCTACCTTTTATTTTTAAGGTAGTGCAAGTACTCATGAGAGATAATAACATTGTCCAAAATTTGTCTTCCTGGCACAAAGGCTGCCTGGTTTTTACTGATGCATTTATCCAAAACTTTTTTCAACCTGTTTGCAAGAATTTTGGAAATGATTTTATAAAGAACATTGCAAAGACTTATAGGCCTGAACTGCTTGATCTCAATGGGATTTTCTACCTTAGGTATCAGGGATATGATGGTATGGTTGACTGCTTTAAGCATATGTCCAGAGTGGAAGAAACTTTGGATGGCCTGAATGATATCTGTTTTGAGGACGTGCCAAAATTTCTGAAAGAAGATTGGTGTCATGCCATCCGGGCCAGGAGATTTTGTTGGGTTCATGGAGAATAAGGCTTCTTTAATTTCTCTCTCCCTCACAGGTGCGATTAGGCCTATGTTCATTTGATCAGTGATAGTCTGTGATATCCCTTCTAGGACCATATCTGTATTATCGGCCCCCTTATTACAGAAGAGATCTTTATAATGCTTCACCACTTCTTCTTCTATTTCTTCTTCAGTGTTTGTCCAGGACTTATCCCCTCTTTGTAGCCTGTTTATCCTATTTCTCTTCCTTCTACCTTTCACACTTGAGTGAAAAAAAGGGTGTTCCTATCCCCCTCCTTGAGCCATTGGACTCTGGATTTCTGGTTCCAGAATGTCTCTTCTTCATCATAAGCCTCCTTCAATTGCATTTTCAGCATTTTGTTTCTCCCCATTTTGTCTTGGCAGTCACTATTTTTGAGTTCCTCCAACTGCTTCTTCACCTTTTCAATGTTCTTCCTAGCATTTGCTTGAAAATTGTTTCTCCACTTGAGGATAGCTATTCTGCATGTCGCAATTTTGCTATGTACTCTATACAGTCTTGAGCCTGTGTGATCCTCTTCCCAAGCCTTCTTAATCACATGTTCCAGACCCTCTTTTTTCAGTCATCTCCTGTCGAATAAGAACCTTTTTTTCCTTCTTTCTTTTAGAGGGTTGGAATCCAGTAGGAGCATGCTATGATCTGATCCAAAATTCTCAATGTGCTTAACATTAGCTCTATCAAACTGTTGGCTCCAATCACTACTCCCTAGAGCTCGATCAAGCCTTTGTTTGATTTCCCCTTCTTGATTCCAATGATTACTCCATGTCCAGGGGTTGCCTTCAAACCCCAAATCTATAAGTCCATTCTGGTTAATGAAATGTCAAAGTCCTTAAAAGAGCATTCCTCCCTTCTTCTGCCCCCCCACTTCTCGTCATTGGAAGTGATATCATTAAAGTCTCCTGAGATTAACCACCTTTGCCCCCATAACTCTTTCCTCCTCTCGATCACCTTCCATTGATTCCTCCTAATCTGATCATCAGTGCTAGCATAAATTCCTATGAACCACGAGTCCACATTAATCTCAGTGTCCATAATATGAACTTCCATAGTGAAAGCAGTAGTTAAAACAACTAACACCTTCACCTCCTTGTTCCACATTACTGTCATCCCTCCAGATTTATTCATAGATTCCACTACCACACTTTCCTCAAATCTCAATTGCTTTTGTATTTTTTCCATGAAGTGTTGTCTGTTTTTGGTTTCACACAAAAAAATCATATTTAGGGAGAGGAGGTTGCAAGCCTCCCTCAACTGGGAAATTGTCAAGGGGCTCCCAGCACCTTGACAATTCCACACCATGACTTTCATTTATCTGTTGGTGACCATAATGGGCTGGTCACCTCCCCCTTGACACGGTTTGCACAGCTTTCTTGACTTGTCTCCAACTTCCCCTTTTTTCCAACTACCTCAACCACATCAACATCCACCATATCTTCATCAACTAACTGAAATTTCCTCTTCCCTGTATTTTCTTTGTTCTTCAAGATTTTTTGTATGTCTTTCAAAGGTTTTTTCCTCACAATAGGCGTCTTTAACTGTTTCCTAGTCCTTCTGATATTTTCCTGATTACTTGCCTCCTCTTGAACCTCCACTTGTTCCTCCACCTGCATACTCTCATTTTCCAGTTCATCCAAAGGTGGTTCTGTAGGTCTCTCCAAAACAATATTCAAATGTCCTATATGAGTCGACACTTCACCAGTTTCTTTTGCCTGTTCAACTCTCCCTTCCCTCACACTTGTATTTCCCTCCAGTCCTAGGACCTTTTCTTTTTCTTTTTATTTACTTATCAGAAGGCTTCCTCCTTGTTTACTAGTGTCATTAGTTCCAGCCTCCTTCTCCCCTTGGTCATTAGTGACAGGCTGCTTTTTTGCCATCAGTGTTCCTCCTCCTGACATTGGAACCAAATCCCCACCGCTGTTTGTTGGGAGATATGTTGACTGGTTGTCTAGCTCCCCTCTCTTTCTGGGGTGACAACTTTCCCCCACCAGCTCTAAGGCATGCCCAAATTGATTATCCAGATGGCCTCTCTCCACTTGTATGCTGGCTGTACAATTCCTTTCACCATGTCCGATTCTGCCACAGGTGTAACAAAAGTCTGGGCATCGTTCATACCTGAAGCTTACCCATTTCACATTTCCATCCATTTTGACCGTGGTCCCTCTCATAAGTGGTTGTGATATATCTGCCATTACCAACACCTTGATGTGCCTTCCTTCCTTACCTCCCCCCTGAGGTATAATAACCTCCTTTGTTTCCTTAAATACTGAGGCTATCTTCCTCCCCACCTCCTTCGAAATCCAATGTACTGGAAGGTTCCTGATTTGTATCCATAATGGGGCAAAGTTGAAATCAGCCTTTTCCTCTTCAAAGCCTACAAACCATGGCCAAATCACTAACAGCTGACTATCAATTACCCACGGCCCTCCATTAGAGATCCTATCTCTATCCTTTTCACTGGGAATGAAGAACTGGAAGGTATTGACTCCTACCTCCACCACTCTCAAGCCTTTAGGATATCCCCATGCGAGGGTGACAAAGTTTTTTATGCCCACAAAATTTATAATTTTTTCTCCTTTTATCTTCCCCACCAGACTTTCTTCACATTCCTTAACACTTGGTCCTACATCTCCCACATCAATTTCTGTTCCTCCCAACTCTTTTGTTGATAGCTCAAACCTTTGCAGGATCTCCGCAATCTCCTCAGCCATAGGGCTTTAGCTATGAAACTAGAAGAAGAATATCACTGACCAATGCACCACCAAAAGATGGCCAAGGGTTAGCTCAAATGAACAGGGGCTACCTACGCAGAGCTCTCACACTCTAGGTAAGAAAAGTGACCACTAAGATGAAGCAGTTCAAAGGCACGGCTAAAAGACTAAGGTTAGCTATCTTACTGCTGCATCAGTTCTTAGAGCCCTCTGGAAAACTAAAATAGAAAACAAATATTCTTTTCCTTTTTTCCTTTTTCCTATTTTTTTCTATTTTTCCTGTGTTTTGAAAGAAAAGAAAGCAGAGTGCTCCCCCTAGACCAGGGGAACCCTTTTTCCTTCACCAAAATGTAAATTCCTATTTGTTAAAAGCACTAGTACTAACCAAAGAAAAAAACAAAAAGTACCGAAAGTGCCACAAGAAAAGTTCCTCTCAAGAGTACAAGCATGACCAGGCCAGATCTGTATTAATAAGCTTTAAAGGTACCTGTCTGGGGTGCATGAGCAGGTGTGAATGGTGTTCCCTCCAGTGTACTTTGTTTTTGTCTCCACCAAACCAGAACTGAGGGTAAGATCTTGTCTTTGTCTTTAATGCTTCCTCTTAAAGCTGTTGGAAAGCTTTCAAGTTAATGTAATGGGCTTTGTTGTCTTCCAGGTGAGATTGAAATTTGGTGGGTTTCCTTGTTTCGGACAGGGTATTTCAGAAGCCTCCCAGGGAGGAAGATTTGCATACTTCCCAAGAGAGAGAAAATTTTTTACATGAAGAAAAACTTTGTTATTCAAAAAAAATAAAAAGGTCATCTCCTTAAACCCATCTGTAATCTTGTCTGCTCTCTCAAGCTCATTCTTCTCCTTTTTCTCCTTCCACATCATACCCACAAAAGCCATCCTTTAAGATTTCCTAATCCCAATATTTCTCTGTCATCTAGAGATTTAGAAACAATTGCCAATGGAAAAAATTAGATATTGGATAGTTTGATAATGAATTTTATTAACACTGAGTAACATAGAAGTAGACATAATAATCATGGTATGTAAGAGCATCTCTATGCAAGGTTCTTTTCCCCCCGTTTTGGCTTGCAGCTTATAGGTTTTGGATTGCTGGAACATTTTTCTACAATTTCTTCTTTTTGGGTAGATAACTTGCGCCTTTGGGTCGTGATTAGTAGTAACTAACATAGTTGAGTTATTGTTGGTGGTAGTGACCCTCCTAGGAGAGAGAAGAGGGTATGAAAGAGGTTTTTTTTTTCCCTTGCAGTTCGTGAAAGACTAAAAGTAGTATCAAAGGTGGAATCGGTGCTAGTGGTTTGGTTCTACACTAGAAAGATGGTAGACGTGCGGGTTTTGGTGGGAAAGAGAAAGAGACTCGGAAGTGCAAAACAGTTCTTTCTCTTTTCTTCATTGGGATAATTTCATAAACTTCCCTTGGGGTTCTTAATAATTTCACCAAGTTCTCTTGAGATTTCAAAAATTACATATATCTCCCTTGAGTTTACCATTTTGGTAATAAAAACTCTTCAATAGTCAAAATTTTGAATGAATAACACAAAATGCCCTTACTAAATTGTGAAATTCATTTTACTTTCTTATAAAATTCTTTAAAAAAAATATGGAACATGCAAAAAATCTCAAACCCACTTTCAACTCTCATCTCTAGTATTTTAAACCTCTCATATTCCTACATTTCAAATTAGTACCATTATCACCATGACCACCACTACCATCAGTTTCTAAATTCCAAAACCTCAATCTAAGTTTAAAAAGAAAAAAATTAGCACTATTAAATTCAAAATATTTTACTAGCTGCATTAATATAACATCCTATCCCTCAAATATTGGAGTAGCAATACCTAGTGTTGTTAGACTTGGATCAGACCGAACGGTCCGACCGTGAACCATTCTTCTTTCTGAGCTGGTTTGTAGCACAAAATCGCTTTGGTAAAAAACTAGTCAAAGTCATCAAAAAACGACTAAACCAATGACCGGGTTTCATTGGTTTACCCAGTTCTCAAACTTTTCTTTCTTCTTTTCCCCAAACATAATTTGAATTATCTAAATTGTAACACTTTCATTTATTAATAGGAATAAGAAAACGCCGCCCACTTAGTGTAAATGTCAAAATCACTCACTTTCCTGAATGATCTCTAAATCAAGATGTTTTCATTGCTATGATCTTATTAATTTAGCATCAATGATTCCAACTTGCATTAATTTGTTTTAATATTGTTTTTCAAGTAGTTTTGGAGAGTGGACATATTTTAAACGTGAATTTATATTTTTATATATAATTATTAGATGTATATTTGATTGCAAGTCTAATAGTTTTGGAACATTTTCTATGATTGTTTGAATATAATCAAGAATTTAATTTCAATATTTTTGAAACTTATAAAAATATAAAATAATTATGACATTATACTGACGTCAACGGGTTTTTGAGAATGGTCTGACCGATCCAATTAGTTAACCCCTGACCCAATAGTTTAGCCGAGTCACTATTCGGTCCGAGTTTAACAACATTGCCAATACCAATGCCATCCTTTTTAAAGTTTTAGCTTACATCTTCTTCTATTCATCACGAAATCCTCCAAGTAAAGCTAAAATTAATTTGTACTATGTTAAAATTATATTTAGGATATAGTTAGTTGTTCTACGAGTGAATCTTGATTTTTTTTTCATTAAATATCTAATTGTGTGATGCATTCATATGCACAAGATTAGGAGCAAATTGTTTAATTGCATGAAAAATATTAATCTGTTGAAGTTATAATGGTCATTTTATAGGGTCAAAAGAGGTAAGTGTAATATTAAAAATCTCAAAAATACTAGGTGAAATTATCAAAAAACCTTGAGGGATGTTTCTGAAATTATCCCTTCTTCCTTTTGACGAAAATGTTACATAAAGGTATATTGCGATATTCATATAATATCTCTTTTGCATAAGCAAATTGGGTTCATTTGTTGCCAAGCAATTGGAGATAAGGGGCGTATGTGCAATTCTAAAATTAGAGGGGACCAAGGTAATATTGTCCGAAACCAGAGGAGGTTTCTATAATTTTTTCTCCGAAAAATGGAAAATAATAGATAGCCATGTGTATGGAGGCCTCTCTTTTAGTAATATTATTAAAGTATTTGTTGACTGCTTCAAGGATTTTACCAAGTATACATAGCCCTTTGATTCTAGAGGAATTTGAAGTTAATCATTCTGCTTTTGAAGGCAAATCAAAATCTTGGAGTTGCCTTCTATTGCACGATTTCAGTTCCACAGAAGATTCACTTTGTTAGACGATTTGGTTGAATCTTATGGTTGTATAGGTAGGATTTTTTGGCATCAAATTCTACAGCTGCTTGATGACAGTCTTGACAGATTTGAAACTAGTTGCTTCTTTCAACTTCATGATCAGCACGATGGCGACA